GTCTCCTCTCAGCCTTCTTTTCTTCAGGCTGAAGAGTCCCAGATCCCTCATCCTTTCCTCGTATGGCTTGCCGTGTAAGACTGACCATACAGGTGGCCTCCTCTTTGGACTCTCTCAAACTGGTCCGTGTCCTTGTTAAAGTGTGGTGCCCAGAACTGGATGCAATACTCCAGCTGTGGTCTCACCAGTGCTGAGTAGAGGGGAAGAATCACCTCCTTGGTTTTGCTGGAGATGCATCGATTGATGCATGCCAGAGTATTATTTGTCCTACTGGCTACAGACTTCGCCTGGCGGCTCATATTCATACTGTGGTCTATTATTACCCCCAAGGTCCCTTTCATTCGTGGTGCTAATCAGTTTGGTGCTGCCAAGCCTCCAGGTGTGTTGGGGGTTGCTCGTCCCGAGGTGGAGCACTTTACATTTTTTGATGTTGAACTTCATCTGATTCCGATCCGCCCAATTTGCTAGCCTATATACGTCCACCTCTATCTGTAGCCTATCTCCAAGTGTGACCGCACTTCCCCATAACTTGGCATCGTCTGCAAACTTGTCCAGCGAGCAATTTACCCCCAAATCCAAATCGTTAATGAAGATGTTGAGAAGTACTGGACCAAGCACTGACCCCTGTGGGACACCACTGCCCACTTCTGGCCAGGATGACACAGATCCGTTCACTACGACTCTCTGGGGCCTATCTTGCAGCCAGTTTCTCACCCACCTGACTGTCTTGGAGTTAAGCCCACAATCCTCCAATTTTCTCAAGAGGTCTTCCAAAAGACCTTTGATCTGGTATCCCACATTGTTCTCATGGGAAAATTCGAGGATTGCAGGCTTAGCTGCATGACAATTAAATGGGTAGGACCCAGAGAGTTCTAAAGAACGGATCTGTGTCGTCTTGGCAAAAAGTGGCCAGTGGTGTCCCTCAGGGGTCCGCACTTGGTCCAGTGCTTTTCAACATCTTTATCAATGATTTGGATGTGGGGGTGAAGAGCTCATTGGCCAAGTTTGCAGACAACACCAAGTTATGGGGGAGCATGGTCACACTTGAAGATGGTCTACCTATATCTGTAGCCTTAGACAGGCTAACAAGTTGGGTGGATCGGAACCAGATGAAGTTCAACATTGAGACATGTAAAGTGCTCCCCCTGGGGATGAACAATCCCCAACATACCTACAGGCTTGGCAACGCCAAACTGACCAGCACGACAAATGAAAGAGACCCTGGGGGTAACAATAGATATGAACCGGCTGTGCAGTGCTGTAGCCAGCAAGGCAAATAATACTCTGGCATGCATCAATCGATGCATCTCAAGCAAAACCAAGGAAGTAATTCTTCTGCTTTACTCAGCATTGGTGAGACCACAGCTGGAGTACTGCATCCAGTTCTGAGCACCGCCCTTCAACAAGAACGTGGTAAAGCTTGAGAGATTCCAGAGAGGAGTCACCTGTATGATCAGAGACTTGCACAGCAAACCATATGAGGAAAAGCTGAGGGACCTTGGACTCTTCAGCCTAAAAAAGAGAAGGCTGAGAGGGGACTTGGTAGCAGCTTACCACTACATCAGGGGCTCAGAGAACAACTGTTCACCAGGGCACCTTTGGAGAAAACCAGGAGTAATGGCAACAAACTCCTGGAAGACTGTTTCAGGCTTAACACTAAAAAAAATTTCTTCATAGTCAGGGTGTTCAGACTGTGGAATAAACTCCCTCCAGAGGTGGTGCAATCACTTACCCTGGACATCTTCAAGAGGAGACTGGATGGTCACCTCACTGGGGTCACCTGATCCCAGTTGTCTTTCCAGCCTAGTGCAGGGAGGCCGAACCTGATGATCTTCCGAGGTCCCTTCCAGCCCCTAACAATCTATGAATCTATGGAACAGCAGCAGTATGCAGGTTCTCTTTCCAGCACCTGCTCCTTGCTAGAAGGGGGGCACACCTAAAGGGAGGCAAGTACCACCACTTATTTCCAAGGTAATCTCTCACTCCATAGGCGCAATCTAAATTCCTTCTTCCTAGGTATGTAACTATGCATTGGCTACATGAAAACACATTTGTAACTGATCCAGAGTACTACTGTGTGATCCAGGTCATTCTGAATTATTGCCACTTCTCATTATTTACCACTCAGCCATTCTGTGCATCACCCACAAATTCTATCAGAAGGGATTTTATATATATTTCTAGATCACTGATGAAACTATTGAACAGCATCACACCTAATACTCTGCATACCTGAACACCCTATCAGAGCCTGTCTGAATTCCTTGTCTGAGAATGATTCTCTGCTAATACCTCATGTCTGAGATCTGTTAGTTAGTTGGCTATTCTTAATCTATTTAAAATATGCTCTAATGATATCAGATTTCCTTGCATATACTGCACCTCAGAATAAGATACACATCTTGTTTTTGAAAAGCAGAAAGAAAACTATAGTAAGTAATTGAGTAACAGCAGCTAGGTAGCCTAGCCTGATCTATGTTCTTCTCCCTGTGGATCACATGCAGACTTTACTTTCACTTTCTCCCCAGCAGAAACTGTTCTTACAATACCTCTGTCAGCTGTTTTTTTGGACAAAGGCATGTGTGTATGTGCAAAATGGTGGATGTCGTACACTTAGACTTCAGGAAGGCCTTCGATACGGTATCCCACCCCATACTGGTGAACAAGTTAAGAAGTTGTGACTTGGATGACTGCACAGTCCGGTGGGTGGTGAATTGGCTAGAGGGTCGCACCCAGAGAATTGTGGTGGATGGGTCGGTTTCGACCTGGAAGGGTGTGGGCAGTGGGGTCCCGCAGGGCTCGGTCCTTGGACCGATACTCTTCAATGTCTTCATCAGCGACTTGGACAAGGGAGTGAAATGTACTCTGTCCAAGTTTGCGGATGACACAAAGCTATGGGGAGAATTGGACACGCTGGAGGGCAGGGAACAGCTGCAAGCAGACCTGGACAGGTTGGACAAGTGGGCAGAAAACAACAGAATGCAGTTCAACAAGGAGAAATGCAAAGTGCTGCACATAGGGAGGAAAAATGTCCGGCACACCTACAACCTAGGGAATGACCTGCTGGGTGGCACAGAAGTGGAAAGGGATCTTGGAGTCCTAGTGGACTCCAAGATGAACATGAGTCGGCAGTGTGACGAAGTCATCAGAAAAGCCAATGGCACTTTATCATGCATCAGCAGATGCATGACGAATAGATCCAAAGAGGTGATACTTCCTCTCTATCGGGCACTGATCAGACCGCAGTTGGAGTACTGCGTGCAATTCTGGGCGCCGCACTTCAAGAGGGATGCGGATAACCTGGAGCGGGTCCAGAGAAGGGCCACTCGTATGGTTAAGGCCTTGCAGACCAAGCCCTACGAGGAGAGACTGGGGCACCTGGACCTCTTCAGCCTCCGCAAGAGAAGGTTGAGAGGCAACCTTGTAGCTGCCTATAAGTTCATCACGGGGGCACAGAAGGGAATTGGTGAGGTTTTATTCACCAAGGCGCCCCCGGGGGTTACAAGAAATAATGGCCACAAGCTATCAGAGAGCAGATTTAGACTGGACATTAGGAAGAACTTCTTCACAGTTCGAGTGGCCAAGGTCTGGAACGGGCTCCCAAGGGAGGTGGTGCTCTCCCCTACCCTGGGGGTCTTCAAGAGGAGGTTAGATAAGCATCTAGCTGGGGTCATCTAGACCCAGCACACTTTCCTGCCTATGCAGGGGGTCGGACTCGATTATCTATTGAGGTCCCTTCTGACCCTAACATCTATGAATCTACGAATCTATGAAAATACAGTATATTATGCTTGTTGTTTGCTAAGAACACTAGGTGGCATTAAGCCCAGTAACTTGAAAAAATCTCTTCTAGTCATGCACTTACCTTTTTCAAACAAAACCTGTTTTCCATAAAGTCATGCTGACTGACCTAAATTACATTCCGATTCTTAAGTGTTTAATTAACAGTAACTTGTATCAGTTGTTCTTTAGTGTGTCTGGTGCTGATATCAGGTCAACTGGTTTGGAATTACTGAAGATTTGTCACTTGCCTTTTCTGAAAACTGGTTCAATATTAACACTGTTCTAATCTTCTAGAATGTCCTGGCATATCCAATTTTATTAAAAATGAATATCAATAGGCCAGAAACCACCTCAGCCTACTCAAAAGAACAGTGTTGAGGAACGTATCCCCCTCCTAAACAAAGGAGACACCTGGAGCATATGTCACTGAGCAGTGCCAAAGTGTCCAACAAGGAGCAGATTTTGACCCCCATGGATTTTTCTTCTGCTGTATCACTAGAATCCCTTGTATAAATGAGAGGTTTATCCAATAAATAAATACCTAATTGAAGAATATTTCAGGTGATTTTTGGTGCTAACAGGCACAGGTTTCCCTACCAGTACTAGCAATCATTAATTAACCATACTATTAATTTCCACTAATGCTAGTACAATGCACAGAAAGCTGGCAGACACTGCAATCTATTCTTGCCATAAGGGGTGAGACAGAACTGAGGTACAACTGAGCCCTTTCTACCACTGCTTCTTTTGGGTGGATCATCAAAAAGGCATTTACAGCATAGGCATGATGTCAATGGATACTAGTGGCCAAATGAATCTGATCATATGTGTATGTAAGCCAAGAACAGAACAAGAAATGTCCTTGATTACTGCCCTACAGAATGCAGGATTTAGCACAGCCCCCCACTCCAATCCTACCCCAATGAGCAAGTCCCTGCCATATGACTATTAAGTATGGACCCCAAGCACTGGCCTGAAGGATGGTTACTTACTAAGGATTGAACCGAGCACTCTTATCCCTGTTACAAGCCAGGAAGCATGTTGGAGAGCTGTTAGCCACATGCTAATCTAGCTAAGCCCTCAGTCTGAATGAGCTCTCACAATAATGCTTTCATAGACAGCCGTGAGTCGTGCTCAACTGAATCTCAGGACAATTCCTGACTCACCTGTGGCCTTTTTTGGTTGACCTGTTTCCTCCCCCCAACAATATTTCTCACCTTGCTGTTTGGATCAGCTCCATTTTCTATCAGCATCTTGATAGCATGAGCGTGGCCACCTCCAGCTGCCTCAGAGAGGGGAGTGTTTCCATTGGCATCGGTGCACTCCACTATCTTGATGTGGTTAGAGAGACGTGTGGCCTTCCCTTTCTCATCCGTACTCACTCCATTCTTAGTATCCAAATCTGACACCTCAGTAGAGACACAAAGGCAAACAGAGTGCATATGGAAAATGGGGGAAAAGTGCTCTCTGCTTTGGATACAAAAGGAATTGTGTGTTAGTTGATAGACTAATGTAAAAAGAAAGATGCAAGCTATTTACCATTCATGGCACAGTAATATTTTCCAGACATGCCAGAAGCCGGCTCTTTGCACCAAAGCATTCACAATGTGATGCAACACAAAGGCTTGGAACACAATTCCTTAGTTCTCTACTTTATTTTTTTGCTTCTCCTTTGCTAACAAACAAAAGAGCTTCCTAGGGAGGGAGGTGGGGGGAGGGGCGGTCTTATTTCTGAAAACTTCTTTTTAGAGTCTTCAACAGCGGATCAGGGTACATTAATGAATTTATTTAGAAACAAAGAGCACTCAAATAAAATAATATTCTGATCCTATATTTTCAGAGCCCACTGAATATCCCAGCTACCAGATAACCTATCCTTCTCCTCCTTGCACGTACTTCCTTTAGCACAGCTTTCATTTCATCCACATCCCCCTCAAATGCTGCCTCCAACATCCGTTTCTTTCTTTGCTGCTCTTCTCGCTGCTTCTTCCTTTCTTCTTCCTCTTTCTGTCTCTCCCGTTCAGCTGCTACCTGCTCCTTCTTCACCATTTCAATGAAGGCCTGCAATTAAATGTGAATTGTAAATGTGAATGTGAATACTATTTGTACCAGAAGGCAGGGGCTCCAAGCACCTCAAAAGAGAAGCAAGGTGTATGGAAGCTGGCTGCTCCAATCATATTTTTAATTTGTATTGCAATAACATTTACAGATCTGGTTAGGGGTTAGGGTGCAGGAATATATAAAAAAACGTAAGAAAGAGACAGTCACTGCTGCAAGGAATATATACTGTAATAACCACAAAGGGAGACAACTGATGGACGCAAAGAACAACTGTTATTAGGATGGGGCAGTGCAACAAAGGGAGAAGATTTCTGATATACAAAAGATGTGCAGTCAGCTATAGAAAACAGATTTGGAAGGGACCTCAAGAAGTCACCTAGTCCATCCTTGGTCCTAGGCAGGATGAACTGAACATGAATATTCCTGCCCAAAATTTGTCAGTCTTAAAAACCTACTTTTAAAAACTTCCACTGACGGAGGTTGTTCAAGTTCCCTCAGCAATCTGTTCCAGTTCTTCATGTTTCCTGTAGCAGGGAATTTCTCCAAATGTCTAAACTTAATCTCATTTGCTGCAATTTAAACCCATTAGTTCTTGTCCTATCCCCAGGGGACAAGAAGAATAATTTATTACTTTCCAATTTACAGCAACCTGTTACATGTATGCTATCATGACTCCTCTATGTGTTCTCTTATGCTTTTCAAACTTTGCCCAAGTCAAAGGCAACAAGTCCAATTTCTGAATGTTAAAACTATTCAAATTCAAATGAGAAATTAGGAACAAATTTTGAACAGAATAACTAAGCAATGGAACAGATTCCCATGGGATGTAACTGATTCTCTACCATAGGAAATCTTAAAGTCTAGAGTTGGTATCTTCTTTAAAAACTCCATCGTTGAACCACAAGATCCCAGGACTCTTTTATGACATACTGAGTAAAGTTCCCTGGCATGCATCATGCTAGAGGATCACACTAAATGACCTCTCTGGTTCTGTCTGATCTTATAATAAAGGCTATAACAAGATGTGTGCTCTTGGATGGCAGGAAGTCCTCAGCCCCTCCCTCTCCTAGCCCGAATATTATTTCTGCAACAACTTACTGCCTTCAGGGTAGGATGTGACTGACTAAAAGAAACTGAGTTTCCCTATGATGTTTTTACTATTATGATTGTGAAGTAAACCTTCAAAACGTGCCCAAGCTTTGTTCAATTCATGTCAATATGGAATGAACAATGAGCATAATGATGAAAATTTAAATATTAGTAGTATTAATTTGTTTGTCAATGATTAAAACATACAGGAAAGAAAAGACCAAATCACATAGATGAAGATCTGCACGATGTACTAAGATCAATGTTCATGACGTAGCCTGAATCCGTAAAGATGTACCATACACAGTTTTTCAGTTTCACCACTGGTGGACCCCTAAGTATGTTTAACATTTTATATCGTAAAAGCTATAAAGCTGTCAACATTTAAAAATGGAAAGGCCGGGGGGGGGACGGGACTAAAAGTGACTACTGATCTAAAAAACTCCTGTGGAAAAGGCAAAACACTTCAGGTAGAAATGGAAGTGGGGGAGGATGGTCCCAAATATTTAATAGTTTCATAGTAGCTAGGGTCAGGAGGGACCTGATCAGATCATCTAGCCTGACCCCCTGC